CCATATTTCCCGTAGTTTAGGGTCCTTCAGGAAATGCAGGATTTATATCATCAACAGTAAGTCCCCCGACCCTCCAAGTATTCTAGTGCCGCCCAAGGACCAGGCCAGAAACCCTAAACCCTAAACCCTAAACCCTAAACCCTAAACCCCAAACCCTAAACCCTAAACCCGTTCTAGTGCCGCCCAAGGAGCAGGCCAGGCTGGCTCCGTGGTCCGCGCCTTTGGCGGCCCGCAGGGCCGCCAGACGCCCTCGCAGCAGCGAGACGATGCCGTCCATCTGCAAAGAAAGGGTTTAGGCGCCATAGCAGCGTTTAGGGCTTAAACCCTAAACCCCGGGTTTAGTGACCGAGGGCTTGGCTTTTGTGCTGCGGGGTTGAGGGTTTGATATCTAAGGCGTAATGCTCGTAGGCTTGAGGGATTGGGGTTTATCAATCAGACGTTCCACTGTCCGATATCCCTTAATCAACGGTGAACTTTTCAGGCTACCATCAAACCATCAGCCCTAAATCCTGAACTCCAAACCCTAATCCCCGAAATACCATAACTTTACCTACGACATAATTCCGGAGTCTCCACCGGCAACCCTCTTAGTGCTCTGCACGGAGCAATGTAGACACCTTAACAATTAGAACAGGATTCCTTTCGTTCGGGGTCTACCATGGTTACTCTGAAGTAAATTATGGCGACTTAGCATAGGAACCTTATCATCAGAATAGAGTTCTGCGAAATTTTGTTCTTGAAACGTGAGGATCAGTGCCGGTAGTTTTGTCCGGAGCCAGGGCAGTGGGGCTTTCACTTTCGGGCTTAGGGTGTGGGATTTTGGGCCTGAGCTTCAGGAATGTGCGCTTTGTGGCTTAGGATGATTGAGGGCTGAGGGCTGCGATTGAAGGCTCATGGGTATTTGTGCGAAGTTCTAAGCGCGATTCTCGGGATCTTCCTGACCAGTACAGATGGCTGTCTGTCAAGGCTCACTGCGCAGTACTCAGCAGCAACAAATGGACGAATGGCTTATCATTTATGCTTCCAGCAATTTCACGCTAAAGCTTAC